TCAGCCTCGCCGCACACACTGCGCGATGCGCAGTTCCGTCCACAGCGTCAAGCGCAATGTGGGCGGAAAAGTTTAAGCACGTGCTGCTATGCAGTCTCGGTGTACGTCCATGTAGGGCCACGTCTCAGAGACTGTCCTGCGGTTCTGGCACCATCTCTTACCATTGTGGTGTTGGCAACAACAATTTCAATGCCGCGCCCAGTGGTGGCCAATCCCCGATCTTTATCCTCCTCGGTTGTGGCGGCAGTGTCTTTTAATGCCGCGCCCGGTGGTGGCGAACCCGCAATCTTCATCCTCCGGTTCCGTCTAGGTTTCTCTGGAAGCGCTGCAGCGCCCACATTGCTTTGTGCCGAGCTTCCGAGACGTTCTCAGAGGCTTTGGCACTATGTCTCACCATTATGGTTTTGGCGACAATTTTTCAATGCCGCGCACAGTGGTGGCAACTCCCTGGTCTTCAATCTCCTCCTCCTGCTCCCCATCCTGATCCTATGTCCCCGTCCTCTTTCTTGGGCGCTCCGGCACTATTCCTCAAAACCGATGTTGGTAACTGTGATTGGCCTAGTTTCGCCGCTCGGGGCTCCCGCCGTGTTGCCCGACTCTTCGCGCAATTGCTGGAAGTCTGCTCTGACAACGTGTACAGTTCGAATTTGCTCGTGTCCGGCCCGACACATTGCCTATGAGAGAGTTGCAGACGCTGCTAATACAATAGAGTCTCGCTCCGACCGCGAGGGCGACGGCGAAGAAAACAAAAAAGACTGGCCAAGAGGGCCCCATGATGGCCCAAGAGTGGCCCAAGACGGCCTAAGAGGGCCCCAAGATGGCCTCAAGAGGGGCCCAAGAGCAGGAGATGACAATTCTAGTCTTCCGTCCCAAGATGCCCCAGACGGCCCAAAAGGATTCGACGAGCGCTCCCCAGAGGCCCCCCAGAAGCCAAAACTACTGATCTGCCACAGGTTTCTCAACGTTTTGGGGTTTCGACGTTTCCAGCTTCCGGCGCTCCACGACGTCCCAAGAGGCCGCCAAGACCGCCCCGAGACGGGCCAAGAGGCCCCCAAGCGTGACCAAAGACGGCTCACGGGGGCCCCAAGCGGCACCAGAGGCGCCCAAGACGCCCCAAAACGATCCCAAAAGGGGCCCGAGCGAAGGAGCCCGCAGCGATAATTCGAGCTTTCCGTCCTAAGATGCCCCCAGACGTTCCAAGGGGATTCGATGAGCGCGCCCCAGATGGCCGAAAGGGGCAAACACCATCGATGTGACATGGGTTTTCATATGTTTTCGAAGGTCCCGACTTTTCGAGCGTCCGGCGCTCCACGATGTTTCAAGAGGTCCCAGACCGCCACGAGACTGCCCAAGAGGTCCCAGGAGGGCCCCAAGGTGGCCCAAGAGACCCCAAGACGGCCCTAGACGCGCCCAAGATGCCCCGAGAGAGCGCCGAGACGGCCCCACAAAGGTTCCACATTCGATACAACTGTAACACAAACCACTTCCTTGTCAGGGACGGCGCTGTGTTAAATTGTTGGGGCTCTGTGGCCGTTCTGGGAGCTCCCTAGGCGTTCCGCTGGGCCCTGCCAGACTGTCCTCTAGAGCTCTCTTGGGGGCCTGTTGGAGTTTCAGGAGAGCCCCACGAGGCCTCTGTAGGCTCTGGAAGCCCCAACAGATCTCCAGAGTCCGGAGCCCTCCCGAGGTGCCAGAGAAGCAAAACACGTCCTAGAACGTGCAATCGTCCGATCACGTCCTCAAGACGACCACCACCACCACCACCACCACCACCACTATCACTACGACCACCACCGCCACGATCATCTCGACGGCGGCGACGGCGGCTGCGGCGGCGGCGCCCGTGGGGGCGGCGGCGGCGGCGGCGACGGCCTTGCGGCCCAGTGCCTCCTGGGCCCTCCTCGGCCATCGTGGCAGTCACGGCACCTGCGTAGTCTGGGAAGCGCTCGGAGTCATCGCACGTCGATCTCGCCGGGCTCCGCGACCACCCACCGAACTTTGAGCTATCCCGCAGAAGGTTCGGCACCTCAACGAGCCACGAGTAGTCCTTGCTTGGGGAACCTCTCTCTGGGTATCCTCAGGTTCGTGGAATAACGCGAGGTCGACTGACGATGACTGGATAATCTGCTAGAAACTACGCGCGAGCTCAGCACGCACGCGGTTCTAGTCTGTGTGTGTGCGTGTGCGTGTGTGTGTGTGTGTGTTTGTGCGTGTGTGTGTGTGCGTGTGTGTATGTGTTTGTGTGCGTGTGGTGTGCGTGTGCGTGTGTGTGTGTGTGTGTGTGTGTGTGTGTGTGTGTGTGTGCGTGTGTGTGTGTGTGTGTGCTTGTCTGCGTGTGCGTGTGCGTGTGCGCGTGCTTGTGTGTGTGTGTTCGTGTGCGTGTGTGCGTGTGTGCGTGAGTGCGTGCGTGCGTGTGTGCGTGTGCGTGTCCCAGCCTCCGCACTGCGCCCCGCCGCCGCTGACCCTCTGGTGCAGCAGCCGCCGCGGGCCTGTCGGCCGCCACATGGGCTCGATGCGTGACCCGTCCCCATGAGCGGTCTCGCTCCCCTCCTGCCCTCTCCTGCATGGTGGCACCATTCACTGGAACGGTACCCCCGCTTAGTTAGCTCTCCGCCAGCGCAGTTTTTCTGCCTATCCGCCGACGATACAAGTGTGTGTGCGTGTGTTCGTGTGTGTGCGTGTGTGTGTGTGGTGTGTGTGTGTGCGTGTGTGTGTGTGTGCGTGTGTGTGTGTGTGTGTGTTCGTGCGTGCGTGCGTGCGTGTGTGTGTGTGCGTGTGTGTGTGTGCGTGTGTGTGCGTGCAAGTGTGTGTGTGTGTGCGTGTGTGTGTGTTTGTGTATGTGCGTGTGCGTGCGTGTGTGGGTGTGTGTGTGTGTGTTTGTTCGTGCGTGCGTGCGTGTGTGTGTGTGTGTGTGTGTTCGTGCGTGTGTGTGTGTGTGTGTGCGTGTGTGTGTGTGTGTGTGAGTGTGCGTGTGTGTGTGTGTCTGTGGTGTATGTGGGTTGCGTGTGTGTGTGTGTGTGTGTGAGTGTGCGTGTGTGAGTGCGTGTGTCGGCGTGCGTGTGGTGGAGTGTGTGTGTGTGTGCCGTGTTGCGTATGTGCGCGTGTGCGTGTTGTGTGTGTGTGTGTATGTGCGTGTGTGTGTGCATGTGTGCGTGAGTGGCTTGAATGTGTGTGTGTGTGCGTGTGTGTGTGCGTTTGTGTGTGCGCGCGTGTGTGTGTGTGTGTGTATGCGTGTGTGTGTGTGTGTGTGCGTGTGTGTGTGTGTGATTGTATGTGCGTGTGTGTGTGTGTGTGCATGTCTGTGTGTATGCGTGCGTGTGTGGTGTGTGTGTTTGTGTTCGTGCGTGTGTGCGTGTCTGTGTGTATGCGTGGCGTGTGTGTGTGTGTGTGTGTGTGTGTGTGTGACGTGTTCGTGTGTTGTGTGGGGCGTGTGTGCGAGTGTGTGTGGTGTGTGTGAGAGTGCGGTGTGTCGTGTGCGCTGTGTCGTGTGTGTGTGTGTGTGCGTGTGTGCATATGTGTTGCGTGTTTGCGCGTATGTGCGTTGTGTGTGTGTGTGTGTGTGGTTGTGTGGTGTGTGTGTGCGTGTGTGTGTGTGTGTGTGCGGTGTGTGTGTGTGTGTGTGCGTGCTCGTGGTGCCTGTGTGCGGTGTTCGTGTGCGTGGTGCATCTGTGTGTGTGTTTGTGCGTGCGTGCGTGCTTGGTGTGTGTTTGTTTTTTGTGCGTGTGTTCATGTTTTGCGTGTGTTTTTTGTGTGTGTGTGCGTCGAGTGTGTGTGTGTGTGTGCGTGTTGTGTGGCGTGTGTGTTTGTGTGGTGTGTTGTGTGGTGCGTGAGTGTGTTTGTGGGTTTGGTGGTGTGTGTGGTGTGTGTGTGTGTGCGTGTGTGTGTGTGTGTCGTGAGTGTGTGTGTGTGTGCGCGTGTGTGCGTGTGTGTGTATGTGTGTGTGCGCGTTGTGTGTTGTGTGCGTGCGTGTGCGTGCGTGAGTGTGTGTGTGCGTATGTGTGTGCGTGTGCGTGTGTGTGTGTGTGCGTGTGTGTGTGTGTGTGTGTGTGTGCATTTGTGCGTTGTGTATGCGTGTGTGTGTGTGTGTGTGTGCGTGCGTGCGTGCGTGCGTGCGTGTGTGTGTGTGTGTGTTTGTGTGTGTGTGTTCTTGTGCGTGTGTGTGTGTGTGCGGGTCTGTGTGTGTGCGTGCATGTGTGTGTTTGTGTTCAGCGTACGTCTATGAAAGAGCGCCTGTGGACGCTGGGAAGGGAGGGGGGTTCAAACCGGGCGGGGGGCGGGGGGCCCTGAGATGCAGGGGGGGTCGAGCCGGGTAGGTCTCCCCCCTCAGAGGGGGGAGGAGGGGGTTCGAACCCGGCCCCCCCCTCTGAGTTGCCGGGAGGGGCGAGCTCGAACCAGGGCTTTTCCCCCCTCTCCCCTGAGTGCAAAGGGGTGGGTGGGGGGTTCGAACCGGAAAAGGATACATTACAACCAGCTGGGATGGATTCCGACCATGTCGGTACCAATCCCAACCAATTGGTACCAATGGCAACCGCTCTGGAAGCACTTTGAAGGTTCCTTGCAGGTTCCTTAGAGGTTCCTGAGAGGTTCCTTGAACCTCCTTCGAGGTTCCTTAAAGGCTCCTTACTGGCTCGCTGGAGGTTCCTTAAAGGCTCTGGATGCTCCTTCAAGGATTTCCGAAAGATTCTTCCTTCGCCTTCTCAGCCGGCTTGGACGAAGGGGGGGTATGCGATCGGCCCCGCCTCCGGGCGCTTGCCTCAACGCGTTCAACGCATGTGCCGCCAGAGGCGCCGAGAACATCAGCTGTGCGAGCTGGTTCTCCAGATCCCCCCCCATACTAACCCCCGTCCGCCTTCTCAAGCTTCTCCCTCCTCGTCTCCCCTCTTCGCCTAGGCTCGGGGTGGGGTTCGGCGGATCTGACTTGGCATCGGCAGCGCTTTGGTATGGGCCCCAAGATCCAGTTCCTTACCTGCACCCCGCGAGGTTCAGACCCCCCCCCCGTCCCTCTCCTTCACACTCGCCCGTTCCTGCGCTTCTCCTTCTCGTCACCTGACCACGTTCCTTCCTCCTCGGACAGGCCGCGTCCGTAGCCATTTTGGCTCAAGGCGCCAGGGCTCGAGCTGGCCGTGCTCCCGCTGCTCGTCCTCCCTCGTCACCCGCCTCGCCTCGCCGGGGCGGCCCGGAGCGAGGGCCGACCACACGGCGCGCCACCATGCCGAACGCCCCCAAACCGTCGCGGCGGACGGCCTCGCCGGCGCCGGGGCCGGCCGTGAAGGACGATGGCCTCCTGCCGCAGTGTGCCTCGCCGCGGATGCCCAAGCTGCTGCTGCGGGCCGCCTCGTCGAGGCCCGCGCGCGAGGGGCCCTCGTGGCCTTCGCCGGGGGGCGCCCTGGCGAGCGTCCTGCCATGGGGCTCCGACGGGCGACGCGCGGCGGCGGGCGCGCGGGCGCGCCCGAGGCGCCTGGCGCCGAGGGGCGGCGGCGGCAGGGCCCAGCCGTGGCTCCTGCTGCCGAGGAGCTGGGGGAAGGGCTTATGGGCGGGCTCGCTGAAGAACCTGCGGCGAGGCTTGGCGCCGCCCTCGCCGGGTGTCTCATGGCACCAGCTGCCGGAAGACGGTGACGACCTGTCCTTCGAGCCCCCCCCGGTGCCGCCCAGCTCTGCGGCTGGGCCAGCTGCCACCAGCCTGTCCGGCATCGTGCTGTCCCTGCTGCCGGCGTCGGTCACGGGCCTGCTCTCTTCCCTGGGCCAGGATTGGGAGAAGCCCGACACGCCTGGCTCCCAGATGGCACGCTCTGAGGCCACCTGGAAGCTGTCGGACCTTGAGCTCGGTGCCACGGTCGGCGTCGGAAGCTTCGGCCGCGTTCGCGTGGCGTGGGTGAAGGACAGCCCCGAGACCACACCCATGGCCCTGAAGATCACCCATAAGGCAACGCTGATCAAGGCGAACATGGTGAATCAGATCAAGGACGAGATCAAGGTGCTCCGCATGATAAAAAACCATCCATATCTAGTGAATCTCAGGGCGTGCTGGCAGGATGAGAGGTCGATGTACATGCTGATGGACTTCGTCAACGGTGGGGAGCTGTTCACCGTGATCAAAAAATGGAAGATACCAGAGGTGCAGGGGCAGCTGTGGGTCGCAGAGCTGATCCTGGCAATCGAGCACCTGCACTCGAATAAGGTGGCGCATCGGGACGTCAAGTCTCAGAACGTGCTGCTGGATAGACTGGGCCACTTGGTGCTCACGGACTTCGGATTCGCCAAGGTGGCCGACCCGCTTCTGTGGACTAAGTGCGGCACCTACGAGTACATGGCACCAGAGGTGGTCCAGAGAACGGGGCATGGGTGCGCTGTGGACTGGTGGGCATTGGGCGTCCTAACATATGAGTTGTTCTCGTGCGACGTGCCCTTCCACGCTGACACGAAAGAGGGCGCTTACAAGAAGATTGTGAAGGGCGAGTACAGTATTCCGAGTTCCTTTCCTGCCGAGGTCCAGGATTTGATCAGGAATCTCTTGAAGGAAAGGTCGCGGCGACTGGGATGTATGGAGGACGGCGTCGCGGGCATCAAGAAGCACCCATGGTTCAGCACGATCGACTTCAACGAGGTGCTTCACCGAAGAGTTCCGAGCCTCTGCCGCCCCAAAGTGAGTTCCGCAGAAGACACGTCGCGGTTCAAAACATACTCGGAGAGCGATTTCGACGACCCGCCGGCCTTGTCGGTGGAGCAGCAGGCATTGTTTGAGTTCGATGTCTGCGAAGGCCGCACGAAATGGGACGATTCCAGTGAGCGGTTTCTGCCAGGCTACGGATGTTGCAGCACTGGTGGCCGCAAGCAGGACCTGGTGGAGTTCGCCGAGGTCGACCACAATTGATCATGACTACCAGGTTGAACCCCAACCAGTCCATCCAAGACTGCTTTTGTTCTTTTGAGCTATGTATAGTTCTTCTGGAAAGCGGTCATACTCATATTATTCCAAGCCTCCCCATCATCGTTTCTCCCTGCACTCGCACTTTCCTTCGAACATTTTCGCAAGATCGACTGCAGTAGGAGCCATCCAGTCCTTTGCCACAATGACAATGGGCTTTGTCTGGCCAAGCTGATACATGCCCTCACATGGCACTATTCTGGAAGCATATGCGATTTTTTGGCGACTTCCTTCCAGTGTTTAACGAACGTCTCCACGCTTCGCAGCATCTTTCCGATGCCAGGCACGTGTAGTTATCTCTGCCCGTGCAGAGATCTGTCGAAGAATGGTAACCATTCGTCGTCCTCTCACCCGCTCTCCTCCATACCATTATCCTTTGCCTCGCCGGGCGCCTTCGCGACTGGCAGCTTTGTGTATAGTCCCTTGTAAGCGTCTGCTGTGTAGGTGTAAATGAAAGGCTGTCGTATGAACAGCGAGCTGGTTCTGGCGGTGTAGGGCTACTTAGAAGTCAGGTTTTTCTGCGCCGCGAGCATGGAGCCGTATCCCACGTTCGAGCCTCACCTATGGATGGCACCTCG